GAAAGATTCCAGGAATTTGTGGGTTGAAATTTGATTACGGACTTGAGAGAGGTTGTTTGTCAAGCGTAATAGCCACACTCTTCTCCGTCAAATCACAGGCTAAGGTGCGTAAAGAATGCCATGGCGTAGGAGAACGTGAGGGCGTAGAGAACGCCAGGTAGGAAAGTGAAGAGGGGGAGAGAGAATGAGAGAACGTGAAGAGAGAACTTAAGTAAAGAACGTGAGATTCCCGGTCTGGGAAATTCACTAGAGTATTCTTATTATGGAGAGAGAGAGAGATAGCAATCTGCTAACTTTAATCCTTCAGAGTATTTATGTTCATCCGGCGCATCTTGCAAGACACACCTGAAAGATTTCCTCTTCTTCTCCAGCCTCCATCACCTGGGTTAATCCCCAGGGGGTCTGACAAGCCACTAGATGGGACACCCACGTTAACCCCCCACTCCACCAGCTTCCCCTTGGCTAGTGGTGCCAGGGCTCGAACTGGCGGTCCTTAGAAGGTTGGGCCAACAAACCAATGGTCAGGTTCAGCTGGTGTTCGGAACCACCTCTCACCACCTGACACTCATTACTACCTGTCACTCAAGCACCTGCCATCACTCAACATCTGTCATTCACATTTTTTTATACAAACAGGAGTAAATGTGGTTTTTAAATGAGATATTACCAGGGTCACAGATAACATTATTAACCTCCATCATGAAGCTCAAGCAGGAACATTAGCAGGACAATTAAGAGGTAGTAGGGAGGGACGGGGATAGTACTAGCAGTAGTAGTGAGGGTGGGATAGTAATAGTAACAATGATAGAGGGTTGATAGTTGACTCCTGGATTTTTAAACCTAATTCTTTACAATTTTCTCTCACTGCAAGCTCCTGACGAAGAGTTGGAGACAGCGCGAGAGGCCTCGACCTGCTACTAAGCAGCGATTTCATAGTGTACGCAGTTTATATATATATATACATGTATATATATATATATATATATATATATATATATATATATATATATATATATGTGTGTGTGTGTGTGTGTGTGTGTGTGTGTGTGTGTGTGTGTGTTGTGTGTGTGTGTGTGTGTGTGTGTGTGTGTGTGTGTGTGTGTGTGTGTGTGTGAAGCAGATATGTATTCCTAATCTATAAATGTTATCCCAGCACAATCGATTCAAAAGAAAACGGTAACCCAAAAGAAAACGGGCTGCTAAAAGGGACAACCCAGTTTGCATGTTGATGATAAAAGATATATATATTTTAAATGTATCTTGCTCTGTGTTCAGGCTATGTAATATATATGCAAATTTAATTCTGAATATTAAAAATTAATTTGTTTCTTCTTACAGAGCTGTTCTGCTGTAAACAGAACCAATCTATATCAAGGTAAGGGAGACTCCTGTATTTTTCAAACTTTTTGTGGATTTTTATATATTTCAGGATAAAAAAGTCAGTAAAATTTATTTATATTTTTATGAAAAAATTTGGAAAATGATGTTAAACTTGATTATATGTCTTATTCTTTATTTCTTTGTAGTTAAATGTAAATATTTATATAGTAAAGCTGGGAACTGAATTGTTAATAAGGTGACAATTTTGGTGACTACATTTGTATATAAAAAAAATGTATATAACAGCTGTGGACTTGACGGGTACGTGACGGACAGGTTCGACGGTTATTTACCATCCGACTCACTCCTCCGTCACACACAAAAGAGGTAAGCACCGTCACACACCACCAGTGAGGTAGGCACCGTCACGCACCACCAGTGAGGTAGGCACCGTCACGCACCACCAGTGAGGTAAGTACCGTCACACGCCACCAGTGAGGTAAGTACCGTCACACGCCACCAGTGAGGTTGGCACCGTCACACGCCACCAGTGAGGTAGGCACCGTCACACACCACCAGTGAGGTAGGCACCGTCACACACCACCAGTGAGGTAAGCACCGTCACACACCACCAGTGAGGTAAGCACCGTCACACACCACCAGTGAGGTAGGCACCGTCACACGCCACCAGTGAGGTAAGCACCGTCACACACCACCAGTGAGGTAAGCACCGTCACACACCACCAGTGAGATAAGCACCGTCACACACCACCAGTGAGGTAAGCACCGTCACACACCAGTGAGGTAGGCACCGTCACACACCACCAGTGAGGTAAGCACCGTCCACACCACCAGTGAGGTAAGCACCGTCACACACCACCAGTGAGGCAGACACCGTCACACGCCACCTTGAGGTAGACACTGTCACACGCCACCTTGAGGTAGACACCGTCACACGCCACCTTGAGGTAGACACCGTCACACGCCACCTTGAGGTAGACACCGTCACACTCTTCGCTCAACTTCAACCAATCAACACTCCTCTCTATCTCCTCTCCCTATCTTCTCCCTCCTGTCTCTCCCTTCCATCTCCCACCCTCCCTCAGCCTGTCAAGTTAAGCATGTGTAAGGATATTTACTGCCTACGTAATGAACCTTCCGCTGATGCCTAAGTTTGGAGGCAACTTGAAGTTGTGATGGAGGGAGGGAGCCAGAGTATTCTCTCTCTCTCTCTCTCTCTCTCTCTCTCTCTCTCTCTCTCTCTCTCTCTCTCTCTCTCTCTCTCACTCTCGCTCTCACTCTCTCACTCTCGTTGATTCAAGAGGACACACACGGAGTGCACAAGCGTGCTGGAGAATAATGTTAAATAATAGTCTTTATTCCTGTACGAGAATGAGAGTAATAAAGAGTACAAGATTATGTCGTAGATAAGTAATGAGAAACAAGAGGTCTTCTCGCATAGATTAGGGAGTAATGAGGGAGAAAGTCGTGTGGTATAACTGGAATAATGACGGACAGTAAAAGGTCACGTGGTATAACGCGACAAGGATCCTCCCTGAGCATCAAGGATCCTCCCTTGATCAATAGTCCTCCCTGGCATCAAGGATCCTCCCTCGATCAAGAGTCCTCCCTGGCACCAAGGATCCTCCCTAGCGTGAAGGATCCTCCCTTGAGGGGAATTTGCCCTGTCTGCCCTTTTTGGTATGGTGTGTCTGTTAGTAGTTTTAAACTTTTTACGTACGTGGGCAGTTTCACTAATTTAAAAGAGAATAAGGGGTTTGGTTGGTTAATGGAGTTTAATATTGTCCATACACGGGGATCGCCAACCCTCATGTTACTATTCACACCCCCCGAGAATACTGAAAAAAAAAAATGGCCTAAAGGGGGTTTTTGTGGGAAAAAAAAAGTCATATTAAATAGTATTATCCACGAGTACATGTAGGTCTTTGCTCTCGCCTCTATACTCACAACAGGAAATTGCATTAAAGCCATCACTGTGATAAACCATTATGATACCCCATGTATATTTGTATCACCTAGGGAGGATAAGGGGGGTCAGGGGGGGGAGTACAGTAAGGGGATTCCCGGTTCCCATATGGGATACCGGGGTTCCCTAGGGGGGGTTTTCCATAGTAAAACACCCCTGCAGGCCGGTCTGTGCCCGGCCTCATGGTAACCCAGTGTTTTCCTGTGTTTTCCCTTTTTGAAATTGAAACTGAAATAACCTATACTGTAAAGGAAACCAGGGTGAAGAAATCACATAGGGAAAATGATAAAAAAAACCAGACAAAAAATCCTGTCAAAGTCACGGGCGAGTATTTCCCAAACTCTTCGGGTCTTGTTCTTTTTTCCCCTCATGGTGTGCGAGAGAATATATTCTTTGTAGAAAAAATCGGTGGATTAGAATTAAATCTAAAAAATTGGGATTTATTTGAAATATGAAGTGCCTTGAGTTTTGATTAGTTAAACTTGAATCAAAAAACCATAAATTTGCATGCGCAAAACGATGTTAAAAGCAAAGGGAAAAAAATACCGGTTTAAAAATAATGTTTGATAGGGGCAAAAAATAAACCCCATTCGCTGTCAGTTGAGTAAACCATTGAAGGTCCGCGAAAAAATTTTATAAGATCTAAATAACAAATGGAATTGGAAGTAGGAGAGACAGCAAGCGGGTGGGGGTGTATTGCAGGGATACCTAACATTTTTTGTAATAAATATTTTATTTACATCAATATTCGTTTTTTCCTCCAGCTGCGTATTACCCGTGTTGTTTTCTTTCCTTTCCCATTTTTATAACACTGACTCTTAACATGTCACACGGTTTTAATCTGTCAACCCGTTTTAACACTGCCACAACACTCTTAACACCACAGTCCCCTGCATTTAAACTTAGTGCCCGGTAAAGCCCCCTGATGTGATACAAAGACGAAAACTCACCACGGGATCGAAGCTTCATTTTCCCCCCGACCAGATGTATTTCTTCTTTTTCAGAGCCTCTTATTGCTAAATTGTATTGTTCCCCCCCCTTTTAATATACAAGTAAGCTTTTTGACTTTTATGTGAATTATATGTATTTTTAATTATAATGTTCAATTTTTGCAGCTTTGTTTTGTGCCGAGTTTCCATAAACATGACTTAATTGTTTCGATTTGCTGTAATGATGGGTGGGGTCGCTGTGCACCCAAAAAAAGGTATCCTATTTGTCATTCCCCAGCCCCCTCTACTCTGTGCGGAATTCACAACTTCAGACGATTCAAAATCCTCCCTTTAAAGAAAACATAGGGGGGAAAATTGTGGTTAAAAAAAAAAAGTGTATTATAATCTAAGTTGGGACGTAATGAAAAAAACAAATAAATAATTTTTTTTGAAATTGTAAAAAATTAAACTGAGATAAACCCTGCTAAAGTAAAGGGGCAGTAATAAAAGTTATCTAAAAAAGAATTTAGAAAGCTGGGGGCTCCTGCGGGGGGGACAGACGGAAACTAGGCACAGGTCATCACTGGGTTGATACAGTCACTTGTGGGACACGAGGACAAAACCCAAAAGAGTCCATCACCTCGGACACAGACTGACATAGTAACCCGTCCAAAAAACACGCCTCAGCCTTAATGAAGAGAAAGATGTAGACTTACACATACTTGAGTGAGCCCCTGAGAAGACCGAGGTTCTGAGGGTTGTTGATGTGAGAGATGACAGAGATGCACCCCGAATGGGCCCCGAGTTTTCGATAGTGTAGATGTGATTTTACAGTCATCCGAAAATAGTGAATATTCATACAGGCGTTCTTTGGGCCCCCCCCTGCTCCCAAAGTTCAGTGGGCCGCGGTGACACACCAAGGGAGAAACCCACCCACTGACCTCATTCTGCCTTCTCCTAGTAAAGACCTTTAAAGAACAGGGGAAGGAAATTTTTTACGAACAAGATCAAATATCACAAAACAAAACAGGGGTAACAGATGCAAAATAAAAAAATATAATCCCGCAAGACAAAACCCAAAAAGTGACAATAACAACCCGCACATAGGGGAAAAAATCTTATACACGTTTTGGTCCGACTCGGACCATTTACTAGTCACACTAACACACAAAAAAAAGGTAGCCAGATAACAGGAGGGAGGAATGGATTTACTTTTTGACTGTTAGAGTCCCATTGACCCACACCCCCTAACACAAGCGCTTCACATTAAAAACCTACTTATTAAATATTCTTGAAGGCACCTCAATTGCTTGCCAGAAATTTTTTTTTATTTTTTATTTTCTTACTCTAACTTCGTTTTTCTTTCACTTATAGCTCTAGAAAACCTCATCCCCATCGTCTACAAACTTTCCCAAAGCCGTGGAGGTAACTAGGGACAAATTCTTGGAACGTTGGCATGTGCAGGGCCCTTAACAGGTTTTTTAAAACCCCGGTGGCCCGGTGGCCTGGTGTCTAATGCTCTCGCTTCACACACGGAGGGCCCGGGTTCGATTCCCGGCGGGTGGAAACTTTTCGACGTGTTTCCTTACACCTGTTTCATGTTCACCTAGCATATAGGTACCCCGGGTTTAGTTTACTGGTGTGGGTCGCATCCTGGAGACAAGATTGGGGACCCCAAAGGAAAAAAAGACAGACTCTCGTGACGCACTGACTTTATTTGGCTACCCGGGGGATAACCTCCGGGGTTAAAAAACCCAAAAAATTTATCTCCACAAAGGGGGGCAGAAAACAACAGAAAGAAATACAGACCAAAGCACAACATCCCCTTCTAAAAATCTTTGAAAGGGCTAAGAAGCAAGTCACCACCCTTAGAAACCCCTCATTACAAAAAACCCAGGGAACATGGGTTTAGACAGGTCGCTCCTGTCTGTCTCAAAACTGGATCACTACGACAAGGTCCCAAATGCACTAGAAACAAAAAGAATGCAGATGTAATATATCAGATTTGCAAAAGCCTTCGACAAGTGTGCCATGGGTAATAGCGCACAAAAAGCGCGCTAAAGGAATAACAGGAAAAGTCGGGCGATGGACTATAATTTTTCCCCATAAAAGAACACAGAGAGTGTCGTCAACAGAGTAAAAATCCGAGGCAGCACGGTGAAAAGCCTGTTCCCAAGGGGACAGTAATAGTCCCCCTCTTGTTCCTTCCTCATATCCCACATAGCAAGGATGTCAGCCCAGCACCGTGTCTTCCTTTGCGGATGACACCCGAATTGCTGACAGTGCTTCCTTGCAACATGAAGGTCCAGGCGGACACAACCAAAACTTTCTGGGTGCAGAAAAAAAATATGAAGTTCAACGATGAGAAAATTTTAATTACTCAATATGGAAAAAAATGAGGAAATTAAATCTTTATCAGATACAAAACAAATTCTGGCCACAAAATAGAGCGAAAAACCCCCGTCAAGACCCGGGATGATTATGCGGAGGGGTCTCACCTTTAAGGACCCTAAAAATTGTATCAATCGCTCTGCTAGAAAAAAGACAGGATGGATAATTAGAACCTTCAAAAAAAAGGGAGGGCCAAGCCATGATGACACTCTTCAGGTCACTTGTTCTATCTAGGCGGGAAAATTGCTGCACTCTAACAGCACCTTTCAAGGCAGGTGAAATTGCCGACCTAGAAAATGTACAGAGAACTTTCACGGCGCGCATAACGGAGATAAAACACCTCAATTACTGGGAGCGCTTGAGGTTTCTAAACCTGTATTCCCTGGAACGCAGGAGGGAGAGATACATGATTATATACACCTGGAAAATCCTAGAGGGACTAGTACCAAACTTGCACACGAAAATCACTCACTACGAAAGCAAAAGACTTGGCAGACGATGCACCATCCCCCCAATGAAAAGCAGGGGTGTCACTAGCACGTTAAGAGACCATACAATAAGTGTCAGGGGCCCGAGACTGTTCAACTGCCTCCCAGCACACATAAGGGGGATTACCAACAGACCCCTGGCAGTCTTCAAGCTGGCACTGGACAAGCAACTACAGTCAGTTCCTGATCAGCCGGGCTGTGGCTCGTACGTTGGTTTGCGTGCAGCCAGCAGCAACAGCCTGGTTGATCAGGCGCTGATCCACCCGGGGGCCTGGTCACAGACCGGGCCGCGGGGGCGTTGACCCCCGAAACTCTCTCCAGGTAAACTCCAGGTATCCTGAAACGGCTGAGATAACTTCCGAAAGCCTCTGCGGCGGAGTTACAGACGTTCAACAAAGGTTCCTAACAATTCGACGACTTTGGAGAGTGAAATTCAAGTGTGTAGGCGAAGATTTAACCATTGTAGGTGTAACATTGTAGGTGTAACATTGTAGGTGTAACATTGTAGGTGTAACATTGTGTAAACAATGATTCCTATTCACCTTAATTAAATTTTCAGTTTAGCTCTTCTGAACAGCTTCAGTATTTAGCGGGTGATGCTTGTTAAGGTCAGGATGGTACATGATGCTTAAGGTCAGGATGGTACATGATGCTTAAGGTCAGGATGGTACATGATGCTTAAGGTCAGGATGGTACATGATGCTTAAGGTCAGGATGGTACATGATGCTTAAGGTCAGGATGGTACATGATGCTTAAGGTCAGGATGGTACATGATGCTTAAGGTCAGGATGGTACATGATGCTTGTTAAGGTCAGGATGGTACATGATGCTTAAGGTCAGGATGGTACATGATGCTTAAGGTCAGGATGGTACATGATGCTTAAGGTCAGGATGGTACATGATGCTTAAGGTCAGGATGGTACATGATGCATGTTGAGGTCAGGATGGTACATGATGCTTAAGGTCAGGATGGTACATGATGCTTAAGGTCAGGATGGTACATGATGCTTAAGGTCAGGATGGTACATGATGCTTGTTAAGGTCAGGATGGTACATGATGCATGTTAAGGTTAGGATGGTACATGATGCTCAAGGTCAGGATGGTACATGATGCATGTTAAGGTTAGGATGGTACATGATGCATGTTAAGGTTAGGATGGTACATGATGCATGTTAAGGTCAGGATGGTACATGATGCATGTTAAGGTCAGGATGGTACATGATGCATGTTAAGGTTAGGATGGTACATGATGCATGTTAAGGTCAGGATGGCACATGATGCATGTTAAGGTTAGGATGGTACATGATGCATGTTAAGGTTAGGATGGTACATGATGCTTGTTAAGGTCAGGATGGTACATGATGCTTAAGGTCAGGATGGTACATGATGCTTAAGGTCAGGATGGTACATGATGCTTGTTAAGGTCAGGATGGTACATGATGCTTAAGGTCAGGATGGTACATGATGCTTAAGGTCAGGATGGTACATGATGCTTGTTAAGGTCAGGATGGTACATGATGCATGTTAAGGTTAGGATGGTACATGATGCTCAAGGTCAGGATGGTACATGATGCATGTTAAGGTTAGGATGGTACATGATGCATGTTAAGGTTAGGATGGTACATGATGCATGTTAAGGTCAGGATGGTACATGATGCATGTTAAGGTTAGGATGGTACATGATGCATGTTAAGGTTAGGATGGTACATGATGCATGTTAAGGTCAGGATGGTACATGATGTATGTTAAGGTAAGGATGGTACATGATGCATGTTAAGGTCAGGATGGTACATGATGCATGTTAAGGTCAGGATGGTACATGATGCATGTTAAGGTTAGGATGGTACATGATGCATGTTAAGGTCAGGATGGCACATGATGCATGTTAAGGTCAGGATGGTACATGATGCATGTTAAGGTTAGGATGGTACATGATGTATGTTAAGGTAAGGATGGTACATGATGCATGTTAAGGTCAGGATGGTACATGATGCATGTTAAGGTCAGGATGGTACATGATGCATGTTAAGGTTAGGATGGTACATGATGCATGTTAAGGTCAGGATGGCACATGATGCATGTTAAGGTCAGGATGGTACATGATGCATGTTAAGGTTAGGATGGTACATGATGTATGTTAAGGTAAGGATGGTACATGATGCATGTTAAGGTTAGGATGGTACATGATGCATGTTAAGGTCAGGATGGCACATGATGCATGTTAAGGTTAGGATGGTACATGATGCATGTTAAGGTTAGGATGGTACATGATGCTTGTTAAGGTCAGGATGGTACATGATGCTTAAGGTCAGGATGGTACATGATGCTTAAGGTCAGGATGGTACATGATGCTTAAGGTCAGGATGGTACATGATGCTTAAGGTCAGGATGGTACATGATGCATGTTAAGGTCAGGATGGTACATGATGCATGTTAAGGTTAGGATGGTACATGATGCATGTTAAGGTCAGGATGGTACATGATGCATGTTAAGGTCAGGATGGTACATGATGCATGTTAAGGTCAGGATGGTACATGATGCTTGTTAAGGTCAGGATGGTACATGATGCTTAAGGTCAGGATGGTACATGATGCTTAAGGTCAGGATGGTACATGATGCTTGTTAAGGTCAGGATGGTACATGATGCTTAAGGTCAGGATGGTACATGATGCTTAAGGTCAGGATGGTACATGATGCTTGTTAAGGTCAGGATGGTACATGATGCATGTTAAGGTTAGGATGGTACATGATGCTCAAGGTCAGGATGGTACATGATGCATGTTAAGGTTAGGATGGTACATGATGCATGTTAAGGTTAGGATGGTACATGATGCATGTTAAGGTCAGGATGGTACATGATGCATGTTAAGGTCAGGATGGTACATGATGCATGTTAAGGTTAGGATGGTACATGATGCATGTTAAGGTTAGGATGGTACATGATGCATGTTAAGGTCAGGATGGCACATGATGCATGTTAAGGTCAGGATGGTACATGATGCATGTTAAGGTTAGGATGGTACATGATGTATGTTAAGGTAAGGATGGTACATGATGCATGTTAAGGTCAGGATGGTACATGATGCATGTTAAGGTCAGGATGGTACATGATGCATGTTAAGGTCATGATGGTACATGATGCATGTTAAGGTCAGGATGGTACATGATGCATGTTAAGGTAAGGATGGTACATGATGTATGTTAAGGTCAGGATGGTACATGATGCATGTTAAGGTCAGGATGGTACATGATGCATGTTAAGGTCAGGATGGTACATGATGCATGTTAAGGTCAGGATGGTACATGATGCATGTTAAGGTCAGGATGGTACATGATGCATGTTAAGGTCAGGATGGTACATGATGCATGTTAAGGTCAGGATGGTACATGATGCATGTTAAGGTCAGGATGGTACATGATGCATGTTAAGGTCAGAATTGGACACATTAAGTTTTGTGCCTCTGTGTACAGCAAAATTTGTCAAATTAGCAAAATAGTTAAAAAAAATAACTTGGAAGTGTTGAAATCTGTGGCACAACTTGAGAATGGCTCGTCTGATCGGCTTCAAATTTTCACCAGCGGTGACATAAGTCTTGGCAACTTTATTAAGGCGCCGTCGAGGCGTACCAGTTGAGAAGGACGCTGAGCGAGGTAACTGAGGGAGACTTATGGGAGGTGCAGTTAAAGAGTTATCAAGTGAGTTATCTTCATCAAGATAACCTAAATATGTGAGGATAATGTAGATGAGGAAGAAAAGGAGGAGGAGAGAGGAAGGAAGGAAGGATTGTCTTTCAAGACACCGTTGGCATTTTAGTCGCCTCTTACGACACCCATGGCTTACGGAGGAAGAATTCTTCGCCGGTACTTCCGGCCCGGCTCTTCTCCAGATGGTGACCCGGCGAGGAAGAATTCTCCAATTCCCACTATATATATATATATATATATATATATATATATATATATATATATATATATATATATACAAACATAGGGATGATGAATTATACCTTTGTTTTGGTTTATTGTAGACAGGAAGGGATATGAAGGAGGTTTGAGAGATGATCTTAACATCTTCCCTCTTTCTTGAGTCATTATTAACTCCATGTATCTTCCATCTTGACACCCCCAACATACCCCCCACGCTCCCCCAACCTCCGGGTAAGCCACAGCAATCATCTCCCACAATATACCAAGAAAGTAAGTGTGCATTTAGGCAGGGCATTCCATTATAGATGTTTTACGAGGGTATCGTGTTCCACCACAGTGTGTCCCTCTACACCAGTAATTATAATATATTTACCAGTGGGGGGCAGGGGGTATTTTACCCCTGGTTATGTCAGTGGACCGCATCAATAAAGTCAGACTTGCACCAGAAAGTCTGATTCACTGCTTTGTTTTTTTCACGGTGTTGTGTAAGGTGAAACATTTTGTATTTTCCTCGTATTACTGTGGCAGTAGTAGTAGTAGTAGTATTAGTAGTAGTAGTAGTAGTAGTAGTAGTAGTAGTTGTAGTAAGAAGTGTGTATTACTAAGGTTTACATTTCTTACCCTACAGATGGCGCTGCAGGAGGCCTCCCGTCCAGGCGTGCTACATTAGTATCCCCTTAAACTGTTCACCCGTTAGTAACAGATACCTCCATTTTTACCCCTATGATGGGCAAAAATGGGAGATTTAGTGACATCCCATTTATTTCTTGGGTAACTTGGTCTCAGCTTCCTGCCCTGATAATCAGGCCTATCCCCTGACACCTTCCCCTGACACCTTCCCCTGACACCTTTCCCTAGACACCTCATCCTCCTCTTCCTCTGTCTTTCCCTACCTCAGTAACCCCATTGGAGAGACTAACCCATTTGTGCCTCATTATCCATACCCCTTGTTCCACCTCCTACAGTTCCAAAACACTAAACCCGGCTTGTTCCATCCCACCTCCTTGAGTACCAAAGACAAAAGTCATCTGTTCCATATCGACGCCCCGAGTCCCAAGCAGACATTCTGTCCCATTGTCCCATCATTGTGGACCCATTTCCACTCAGCAGACATTCCAAGTCATCCTCTTGTGAATCCAGCTCTCACTTGTTCCTTGTACCATGGAGCAATTCACAACTAACCCACAATACCACGGCTGGAACAATTTACAACCCACAATACCATGGCTGGAACAATTCACAACTAATCCACAATACCATAGCTGGAACAATATACAACCCACAATACCATGGCTGGAACAATTCACAACTAATCCACAACCTTCAGTAATTTACCTAACATTCTCCTTACCTAATTTACCCTTGATGACTCTAATTACCTAACGTCATCTAATTAGCGTCTCCTAATGACCTACCTATCAATAGGCCTGCTTTATCTCAGCCTACTCGCTGTTAGCCTGCCTAGCAGTTAACTTTACCCTAATGTACTTGTGTCTATCCTCTCCTACCTTAATCTAGAGACTATCCTCTAGTGTTTTTCTAGCCAAGACTAGCCACCAGTCTCACATTTCTACCGTGTATACTATCCTATCCTTTGACTGTCCTACATATTCCAGCTATCCAGTAGGCAATGTTACATACGCCCTGCGTGTTCTGTCTACCCAGTAGACTTTTAAATGCCCCTACCCACTCTTTCTATCCAATAGATCTTGTTAAAGCCAATTTATTCACTCCATCTATCCAGTAGATCTTCTTAAAACCACTCAATCTACTCCATCTATCCAATAGATTTTGTTAAAGCCACTCTGTCCACTTTATCTATCCAATAGATCTCGTTAAACCCACTCTACCCACTTTATCTAATAAACCTTCTTAAACCCAAGCTACTCTCAAAATCTATCTAACAGTTATTAAACTCAGTGGATTTTGTTAAACCTAATCTATCTAACTTTCCTATCCGGTAAATCTCATTAAACCCACCCTGCCCACTCAGTCTATTAAGTGGGCCTTGTTCAACTATCCTTACCCTGTTAAACCATGCCTACCAAGAAGTACCTGTTTACCTTTCCCTTGCCTATCCATTCCCTTTTTATCCATCCCAGCCATCCCTTAACCGCTCTATCCCTCCCCCCCCATCTATTCTCTATCCTCCTAAACTAAAAAACGTAAATAGACTTATTGCCATTTTTAAAGCGTTTCACTATCCTTCGCCTATACATAACATTATGGAAAAGTGCAAAATCCGCATGGGTTACGCAGATCCCCCCGAGATGGTACTGGGTGAGCTGATGAGTCTGGTGAAGGAGGAGACATGGTCAGGACGTAGGCGATACTTGGTGCTTGAACGCTCTGACCAGACGCTTTCACTGTATCATTGTTAAGCTCTATTAAGTCACGCTTCCACCTGAGCTTCCAGGAAATTATGTGCATTCCATAAATAACTTTAACCCCCTGTATGACTTGTAAAAAGCTCTATACCGACTGAACACGACTTGGTAAAGCTCTACATAGTGAAACATGACTTAATAAAGCTCTACACAGTGAAACATGACTTAATAAAGCTCTACACAGAGTGAAACTAATATATGTTTGGTACTAGTTAGTATTCCTAGGTAGGTACGTCAGCGCCTAGGAGAACCTGCTCCAGTCTACTGAAGGTACAGAAAGGCTGGGCCAGGAACTATGGATCGACCCCTGGCAGACTCAACTAGGTAAGCGCAAGTAAGCCACTACGCAGCTCTGAAATATTATTATTATTATTATTATTATTATTATTATTATTATTATTATTATTATTATTATTATGTATTATTATTATTATTATTATTATTATTATTATTATTATTATTATTATTATTATTATTATTATGTATTATTATTATTATTATTATTATTATTATTATTATTATTATTATTATTATTATTATTATTATTATATTATTATTATGTATTATTATTATTATTATTATTATTATTATGTATTATTATTATTATTATTACTATTATTATTATGTATTATTATTATTATTATTATTATTATTATTATGTATTATTATTATTATTATTATTATTATTATTATTATTATTTATCAGGGGAACGACCTCTTCCTGAACAAAAATTATGGAATGATAAATAACTTTGAGGGAAAACTAACAATGGAAAAGTTAAAAAAGAATTGAATATCATATAAAAAAAAAAAAACATGGCCTCAATTGCTTCAAGTGAGATCTTGACTTTTCTTACTCCAGGATGACTGTCTTCTTAAGATGTAATGAAGAGGTGATGTTGTTTATTCTAGATAGGCGGTGGCAGTCTGATGTTCAGTAGATGGCGAAGCTCGCGTCATTTCTGGTTGGCAGCATCTCACTTCAGATCGCAAAGGAGAGATGAGAAATCACTATGTTCCACTGATTCCCGTCGTCTGGCATCTTGGTCCAAAACATCCAAAACTATGCCAGCAGCAGAGCTGGCAGGGAAACACAATACTGGTTACAAGATGGTTATTAGGTATAACATTGAAGAAAGACAAGGGATGGTAATTATACTTCAATGTCTACAGATGACCAGGTTAAATACAAGAAAATTGAAATAACGTTCCTGGTAGATCAACTTACCTCATCAGGAGAAGAGTGGAGGAAAAGTGCTTTCCCAAGCTCCCATCCACACCAGGAGGTAAAGTACTTTACCAAACTCCCACCCACACCAAGAGGTAGTGCTTTCTCAAACTCCCATCCACACCAGGAGGTAGTGCTTTCCTAAACTCCCACCCACACCAAGAGGTAGTGCTTTCTCAAACTCCCATCCACACCAGGAGGTAGTGCTTTCCTAAACTCCCACCCACACCAAGAGGTAATGCTTTCTCAAACTCCCATCCACACCAAGAGGTAGTGCTTTCTCAAACTCCCACCCACACCAGGAGGTAAAGTGCTTTCCCAAACTCCCACCCACACCAAGAGGTAGTGCTTTCTCAAACTCCCACCCACACCAGGAGGTAAAGTGCTTTCCCAAACTCCCACCCACACCAAGAGGTAGTGCTTTCTCAAACTCCCACCCACACCAGGAGGTAAAGTGCTTTCCCAAACTCCCACCCACACCAAGAGGTAGTGCTTTCCCAAACTCCCACCCACACCAAGAGGTAGTGCTTTCCCAAACTCCCACCCACACCAAGAGGTAGTGCTTTCCCAAACTCCCACCCACACCAAGAGGTAGTGCTTTCCCAAACTCCCACCCACACCAAGAGGTAGTGCTTTCTCAAACTCCCACCCACACCAGGAGGTAAAGTGCTTTCCCAAACTCCCATTCACACCAAGAGGTAGTGCTTTCCCAAACTCCCACCCACACCAAGAGGTAGTGCTTTCCCAAACTCCCACCCACACCAAGAGGTAGTGCTTTCCCAAACTCCCAACCACACCAGGAGGTAGTGCTTTCCCAAACTCCCACCCACACCAAGAGGTAGTGTTTTCCCAAACTCCCACCCACACCAAGAGGTAGTGCTTTCCCAAACTTCCACCCACACCAAGAGGTAGTGCTTTCCCAAACTCCCACCCACACCAAGAGGTAGTGCTTTCCCAAACTCCCACCCACACCAAGAGGTAGTGCTTTCCCAAACTCCCACCCACACCAAGAGGTAGTGCTTTCCCAAACTCCCACCCACACCAGGAGGCAAAGTGCTTTCCCAAACTCCCATTCACACCAAGAGGTAATGCTTTCCCAAACTCCCACCCACACCAGGAGGCAAAGTGCTTTCCCAAACTCCCACCCACACCAGGAGGCAAAGTGCTTTCCCAAACTCCCATTCACACCAGGAGGTAAAGTACTTTCCCAAACTCCCATTCACACCAGGAGGCAAAGTACTTTCCCAAACTCCCATTCACACCAGGAGGTAAAGTACTTTCCCAAACTCCCACCCACACCAGGAGGTAAAGTACTTTCCCAAACTCCCACCCACACTATTCTTATTATCTCAAACACCACCAGACATGTATACACTGTACTAAAGTACGAAAGAAGAACAGTAAATATACCTTATGCAAAATGTGTACAGCAATAAAGGAATGGAACAGACTGCCCGCAAATGTCAAAGCCAGTCATAGCATGAACCAGTTCAAGAAGACTGCCGAAAGGTACCTAATGAATGTAGCTACAGAAAGGAAAGAGAATGATTTTTTATTTTTTATCTAACACACATGTATAGATAAATAACTCGTTTTACCCTATTCCTAATATATTTCTTTTATAGTATAATAATAAGATATTAAAAGGACCCCATTGGAAATAAGTCACTCTGATTTTTTGGATCGACACCATGCCTAACCCTTCTAGGGTAGGGTAGGTGCCTGAGCCCGAGCCTTTAGCTCATAAGACTGTCATTCCCATTTGCCCCCTTGGGGCGGGGATGGCAGACCAGAGAGGCCTAGCTTGTGGCTAGGCCTGGGGACAGTTGGTCCCAAAGATGAGGAGGTGCTTGTGCCTCCTCCCATGGCAGACTTAGGTCTCAGACACTCCCTAAAGAGGGAGCCAAGGCCGGGCCACCACTTGGACAAGGCCCGGGCCGGGAGAATACCGGCTAATCTTTAACTAACTGATTTTTTGGGGTTATCCCAGGTTCTCTACACATATGCTGCTATGTATGATAATATATGTAACTGTATTTGCGTATACCTGAATAAACTTACTTAGAAACTAAACAAAACTCAAACCCGAAGAAATCTGGCGCTTTAAAGCGGCCCTCTTGATAGTGCGGCCGGTGACACTAACACTTTCTGAGTCTGATATACCATCAGACTGATTTACCGACTTTACCCTCATTTATGATTATTATTATTATTATTACTTCTACAATTATTATTATTATTATTATTATTATTATTATTATTATTATTATTATTATCATTATTATTACTACAATTATTATTATTATTATTATTATTATTATTATTATTATGATTATTACAACTATTATTATTATTAATAGTAGTAGTATTGTTATGATTATTATTTTATTTTTAGTGTTATTCTCTTTATCATCATCATCATCATTATTAGCATTACTAAACAAATCGTTATAGACATAACTAAAGACAAATATTATTACAAAACAGGTGCAGGTAATGTCTCACCTGAGAGACGACATTAAGTCTCCCCAGAACTGACACGAAGATTTCTCAGAGATGTTCTGAGGAAGTTCTGAGAACGAGTCAGTTTCTCGCAGTTCCCACCTCCCTCTAAACAAACAAAATATCCTTCAGACTGGTCAAAACGTCATTAGATCTGTCCTAAAATATCCATGAACGTTACCTTGGAGAATTTAGGACACCCCCCCAAAAAAAAATTCTGATGGAAATGCGGAATTAGATTTTTTTCTTCTATGTAAAAGTCTGTAGAACTTTCATTTTTGGGGGGAACTGAGAAAAAGAGAGAGAGAGAGATTTTACACACAGAAAGCTTTAACTGGGGACTGTGTTTTGCATCAGCATTGAGCTTCATTGTCTTCAAGCTCTACGGAGTGGGCGAAACGTTGACTCAGTGGTTTGGAGAGTATATTGTGTGTCCTCTGCTACACCTTTGAGCAGAGTACGTGTGGCAGTTGATAACTAGAGTACCATACACCAGCAACCTCACTAATAATAAAAATAATAGCAGTAATAAAATAATTAAAATAACAATAACAAAAATAACTGACAATAATAATAATAGCAATATTAAAAATAACAAAGAACAATAATAATAATAATAATAATAATAATAATAATAATAATAATAATAATAATAATAATAATATTGAGTATTATTATTTATAATAATAGCAGTAATAAAATAATTAAAATAGCAATAACAAAAATTACAATAATAATAATATAATAATATAATAATCATTCAACAAATCACCAACATTAATTAATCACGTGACATAAAACTTTCATCGGAGATAATTGAATATCAGTTTTATTTAAAACACATAAACCTCTTAGGCGAATACTTAATACCATTTATAAGCATTGGACTTTATAACGATACTTATATAATTAACGCGATATATAAGCACTGGACTTAATGATATAATTATTAATGGAATTTATAAGCGCCGGATAAATGTTCTGTTTTGTTCTCAACGTTAATTCTGATCGTGGAAGATTTTAGACTTTGATTTCCATTGGAAATTCTCTGGTTATATATTGGTGTGTTGACTCAGGTCGTCACGAG